TGCAACTGTTTCTTCTCAGAAGTACATATAATGCTAAAATATATGTACATTACACAATGTAAACATATAGAAAAAAGCAACAACATTAAAAAAATCATCATACTTCCATTAGCAGCCAAGGATTTTCTTTTAAGTCCTGATGACAATGACCTCCTGTCACTGACCAGGAATGGCTGGAGTCAACCAACAGCCCATAAATATTTATTTACTTATTTCCCCTTTGATACATTCATCCATAAGATGTTGCTACAACAACCGTCATGAGGTGGTCAACTCTGGCTTCTCTTCTACGTTCACATTCAAAACAGTCCTGGTGTTGAGCTGGGTAGACGGCAACCTCCTCGCTTCGACAGCAGCGTACCCTTAGAGTTTCCTTCTCTTAGAAAAATAAACACCCAAGATAAAGAGGAGGCAAAGTTCATTCCATCTGACAGAGTGATAAGGGAGGCAGGGGCGATGCCAAGTTACCCTGGAGGCTCTCACTTCCATGGCGTACCAGGCTCTCCATAACATGCTCGTGGGGCAGCAGCAGTCGGTTAGTCTGTCCCCACATCCCTCTATCGGCCACATTTCTCCAGGTCTATTCCTTTCTTGCAGGTCCTGGCATCAAATCCTCTGAGATGCTGTGAATCTCCAGCAGCCTTTGCAGTGCCAGGCACAAAGGGGTGTTTTGCCTGGCTTGTAGTCTGGGTACGTGAAGGCATCATTCTTCTATAGAGATCCCTGCATTGTACTGTGAATCATGGTGGATTCTTGTTCTATTCTCTAGTTCTTTTTTCCCTCTTTCTGAGCAGCAGATGCAAACTCCTTTTATACATTTAAAAGAAAGAAGCTTGGGACAAGAGGAACAAATAAGACAGAAAGAGCAGAAATCTGAAAACCTGTTTCAGGGTAATTAAATGATTAGAGGCCTTTGAAATCCTCCAGATAGCTCAGTTGTTTTTGTTTTCATTTTTTTTCTTGGGCCTCTTCACATATAAAATCTCTGCCAGATTCACCAGTCTGGAAAGCTGGAGAGAGGCTGAAAACCACTTTGTCTTAACTCCCATCAAGATATTTGCAGGTTTCAGACGAAAACAAGAGGATGCTTCCTGGGGCCCTGGCCGTGGCAGGTCAGACAGCCCCTCTCCTCCTGGACCCACACCCTTTAATAGCATCTTCATGCCAAGGGCGTGCCCCTCGGGTGTCAGACTCATGTCTCTCCTATTGTCTTTAGATCTCCTATTATCTTCATTAAAGAAAAGCAGAGAATGAGACATAAATTTGAGATTCACAGTCCTATTTAAAGCCAAGACGTAACCACATTCCTCCCTTTCCCTGTAAAGGGACACTACGGGTGTGGGTCTCTTTTCCTGACTGTGAATCTAGAGTAGCCATTTGCTGCCACAGACAGACTATTGAAGAGAGAGGGGTGCCTGTGTCTGA